GTTTTACCCGTTCTCTTACTTTCTGTTGCTATTTTTAACATGCATGTTTTAACCAATACTAAAATGTAACTAGCATTTAAGATGACTTAAATAAATTACATGTATAATGTGTGCGTGTACTTCCTCAGGAAGGTAACAGTGAAGCTTAGTATAAGCCTTATATTCTATTCCTAGAAATAAAGTTGTGGAGTGTACATGTCACGTGTGGGATTCATATAAAATTTATATTCTGGTATTGTGGTTTGTTATTCGTCTTATATACAATGATCGGTTCAAAATTAATTCATGATTAACTTCATACATATAAATTGCAGATTTGTTTTTTTTTTAACAAGATTTAAAAATACATATATTTTATTAGGTGGGGATGGATGTGACATTATGATTAACTGAAAAGTATGCATGCAGACGCTTTTCTTCTTCGGGTGTCGTTATGAAATCAGTCTTTCATTCACAAAAAGAACTTGAAAGTTGTCAAACTTGTTTCCAATGCGTTTGTATAATTCAATAAAGATTAGGTGCATCAAATTCGAAAGTGTTCAATTAATATTTCTTGGTAATTTTTAACATTTGATTCATTTTTCCTGGCCTTCCGTGTCCTATTTTATATTTATGTTTAAATTATTGAAAATAAATATATTTAGAAGAAAAGGATCAAACTCTATTTCAAGAGACAAATACAATCTATTCTTGGATGCAGAATATCTTTTCAATAAGCCAAGAAGTCTTCAGTATTAAAACATTCGAAACTAAAGCATGTAAATATTTAACTTGTGTTAAAAGAAATGTTATTTTTCCTTTGGATGGAAAAAAAAACTGTCGCACTCTGTAAAAAATTTCAGGTACTATAACAATACTTTCTATCTATTCGTATATTGTATAGACTTTTATTGACCCTAGGGGGGGGGGGGGAAGTAAGGACTGTCTCGAACTTCTTTTTTAAAGATAAATACTTTGATAGTGTAACAGAGAAAATTACGTGCCTCTGCTTAATTGGGATCGAACCCGAGGCCTCTGTGCTTTGCGGAATAAGGTTAAGGGTTATCCCACTAGCCTAAGCTAGTAGGAAGCCGTACGTGTGTCGTTTGTACTACCACAATAGGATTTTTTATCCAAATGTTGCTAATTTTCTTTTACTATTGCAGTAATGTAGATTTCTGCCATTTTACTGCATTAAAAAGCCATAAATTGGAAGAAATCCCAGAAGAAGAGAATATTTTTTATTTTGTCTTGAGTTTTGTCCATTGACGATCATTTCGGTCCACCCCCCCCCTCCCGTCATTCGTTTCTCAAAGATATACTTTAGAATGTTTATTTCTATTATTACGATTTAAAAATCCTTAATTGTTGATACTTTTAAGGAAATCAAATCAAAGATTTAATAATAATAAATATCATCAAATTATTATGAAGCTTTACGTCATTTTACGATTTTACGTTAAAAAAAATCATGCAGTTACGCACGCGTACACTGTACGTCAAAGTAAATATTCCGTCTTTGTCATGCGATTTTTTATACGTTTATGTACAGAAATATATGTCATGTTATACATCAAACGAAAGAGAAAGAAAAACTCTACAAGAATCAATAAAAATCTGAAAATGTCAAAATTCTTCGTTAAGGGAGGTTTTTGCTTGGCGCGTCACATATATTTTTTCGTGCTGTTCACATTCGTACAAATGATAACATTATTGCCGATTCAATTTCTCGTCAGCAGTGGCACCGTTTCCGGCAGGCTGCACCACACGCACAGACCTCACCACAACCTGTACCAATCGAATTCCAGAACCTCATATCCAGCATGAAATAAACAAGTTGTTAGGGGCAGCATTATCCGAAAACACTAGCAAAGCTTATCAAATAGGCATGAGAGCATATTTCAGCTGCTGTTCACAACAAGGATTAAATGCCCCTTGGCCACCCACCTGCGATTTGATTGTTAGATTTGTTGCGCATTTGTCACTTAAAGGCCTTGCATTTTCTACAGTTCGTTCTTACTTGGCTTCTATTTCTTACAATAGCAAACTTCAAGGTCATAAAGATCCAACAGAAGAGTTTATAGTTAAAAAGTTGTTACAGGGTTTGAAACGCACAGCTCACAGTAGTGACAGTAGGTTGCCCATTACAAAGTCCATATTAGAGCAGATTCTTAAAATTCTACCAAGTGTATGTACAAGTTCATATGAGGTTTCATTGTTTTCAGCTGCATTTTCTATCGCATATTATGGCCTGCTTAGAGCTGGAGAACTGGCAGTCTCCGGCAAATCCTCAGATAAAGTTGTTGCTTATACAGACATCCAATTTGACGACAATAGCACTACACTATTCCTCAAAATAAAATTTTCAAAGACTGACCAATATGGTAGGGGTACAATTTTGCAGATATATGGCACAGGGGATGTAACTTGCCCCTGCACTAATCTCAAAAGGTTTTTAGAAAATAGACCTACTCAGGGGGGTCCATTATTTTGTCAATTTTCCGGAGCTCCCCTGTCTAAGTACCAATTTACTTCGATTTTATCCAAAGCAATATCAGCCCTAAACCTTGAGTCTTGGGGCTACAAATCCCACTCCTTTCGGATTGGGGCAAGTACGGAATTGGCCTTAAAGGGGTTTTCATCTCAAGTTATTCAATCCTCAGGAAGATGGAAATCTGATTGCTATAAAACCTACATACGTATTCCAAGATTTTAATTAACCCAGAGTTGTTATTTCAGATTCTCAAGTCGTATGGTTGTTTGGGTCATCAATTATTAAAAGGGCTTTTGCAGAAGCTAAGAATAGGCCTGGTAGGTGTGATTTAAATTTGCAAAGAATAAATATTTCAATTTGGTGGCAAGGTTACAGTGGTATAGAATTTAAGAATGCTGTAGCAAAATTGCGGTTGCTGAAAAAAGTTGGTCCTAACCCTAACGTCATCCTTGTGCACTGTGGTGGAAATGATATCGGGAAAACATCAGTAAGAAAATTAAGAATGTTAGGTATAAAATTCTTGGAATATATTAAGGAGGAATTTCCTCTGGTTCACTTAATATGGTCTCATATTCTGCCCCGCATTAGTTGGCGTTATTCGTCAAATAACCTGGCAATGGAGAACACTAGAAAAAGGTTAAATGCATTTTTCTCTAACAAGTTTGTCAAAATGGGGGTTCTGTTATCCACTACCCTGACATCAAAAATCATGCCCGATTTTTTGAAAGGGATGGGGTTCATTTATCTAAGTTAGGAAATGAAATTTTTCTAAACACAATCCAGGGGGGTATCGAAGCAATTATTAGGCATGGATACAGGTTCTATCCATCACGGTAATGACTGATATCTGGAGAGGAAGGGTCACGGCTGTTTCAGGCCGCTCAGGACCCCCACTACTAAAGTGGCGGCGCCCCCATTCGTAGATGCTTTGTTCAAGCATATACGACTGGGGTCTTGTGGCGAACTGAGCGGCATACATCAATTTAACTATCATATAATATTTGTTCATTATTGGACCGCTGCACCACCCAGGGTCAAAGTTGAATACCATGTAAATATTGTGACAGTGTAAACAAAACTATGTTTATTTGCTTCCTTGACTTCTGCACCTCCCAGAGTCATGGATGTGTGAATATTATTCTTGCATTGCAAGTTTTTATTATGTGACCTTGACCTCTGCATCTCCCAGGGTCAAGGTCACCTGATATGTTGTATGTTGATGTTGTACTGAAATGTTGTTGTTGTTGTTGAAATGAAATGTTGTTGTTGTTGCTGGGCCTACCCGTTGCTTTGGAGGCCCGAAATAATATTTTGTGTAATTCAGCCGTGCCCAATAGCGCCAAATAAATATAAAACCCATAAGAATTTTTGTTTCATTTATTGCGCCTGTCCAAGATAATATGGCATCTATCTCGCCTATATGCGAATAAGATGCTTTTATCTTGGCAGCGCAATTTTTTTGGCGCAGTTACCTCTCCTTATTTTGGCACGAGTTATCTAACCTTCAGTTATATATAAAGAAAGCACTCATGCGGCAAACTCTCTCTTTGCCGGCTACACGCTAGTTGCAAGGTTGGTGTTATTCAAATTTTAGAAAACGACTAAGTATAGAGATTTAAAATCCCTCCCTCCCCTTAATCCCCCAAATATACATTGTTGAATAGATACTGCTGGTGTTTCTGTTATTTCTTTTCAGTGGAAAATACAAGGCAAGAGGTCATCTGTACCTACATATCCGGCACGGCTGTCATTTTGAAGATTGTCTGTGAACTTGTGAACTGAGCGGCATACATCAATTTAACTATCATATAATATTTGTTCATTATTGGACCGCTGCACCACCCAGGGTCAAAGTTGAATACCATGTAAATATTGTGACAGTGTAAACAAAACTATGTTTATTTGCTTCCTTGACTTCTGCACCTCCCAGAGTCATGGATGTGTGAATATTATTCTTGCATTGCAAGTTTTTATTATGTGACCTTGACCTCTGCATCTCCCAGGGTCAAGGTCACCTGATATGTTGTATGTTGATGTTGTACTGAAATGTTGTTGTTGTTGTTGAAATGAAATGTTGTTGTTGTTGCTGGGCCTACCCGTTGCTTTGGAGGCCCGAAATAATATTTTGTGTAATTCAGCCGTGCCCAATAGCGCCAAATAAATATAAAACCCATAAGAATTTTTGTTTCATTTATTGCGCCTGTCCAAGATAAATCAGTTCTCGTGATAGATGATCCATATCAATAATACTTGTCCTGTTACTATGAATTCTTGACCCCTCAGATAAGTCACCTTAGAAGACAGTACAAGACCTTGACGCGTCTGGACATTTATTAATTATGACCGACTTTATCTTATAATATGTACATGAAGACAAAGAATATAGACATTGAATTAAAGGCATATCATGACCATTCACTATGACCGACTTTATCACTTAAAATATACATGAAGAACAATTGACCTCAAATGAAAGGCTTGAGACACATGCCCCTACTGTACTTGTGGATCCTATGTATTGCCTTACCTACAACAGTAGTCAATCTTGGTATTGCCGTCAAAGATGCCGTCAGGTAGAGTTCCATGTTTCTGATTTCTATCCCCCGGGTCTTCGTCATCCCACCTTATGGAACCGACAGAAAAACCTGGACAGAGGAGATGTAAAACTCATCAAAAGTAAAAGAAATCGATAGACCATATTGCCCCAATATAGCAATCCCTCCTCTTTTAATTTTTCTCATCATTTATTCAGTAACAAAGTGTAAGTTTTAATAACACTTACCGTCTGGACAGTTGCCATACTTAAGGATACAGTAATCTCCTTTTGGCCAATTCAAATCAAACTCGGATACCTGTGTATCTCCTTTGATACAGAATTCTTGTGCAATTCTTTTATCATCCTTTATACCTACAAATTGACAAAAAAAAATCAGATAAACGCAACAAGCAAACTGGAACATGAAGATAACGAAAACTCGAACACTAACCAAGCTTTAAAGTCAGTTGGAACAACTTTTTGAAAAAAATTGTAAGCAGAGCAAAACAGGGACTTCTATAAACACCAATGGATCAGGTACTAGGAATATGTATCCCCTGTCGACAATGTCACAGCCACCACGTGCTACAGATAAAGGACTGGTAATTTTAAATCCGACTCGGTTGGCGTTTAAACACGGCCTACATGATCCGGAGATCAGGTCCTAGGATCATAAAACAAACTTAAACTTAAGTCAAATTTTCAATCTCCTGTAAAATATTCACTATTTATAGAATTACGTAATCTCTAACTTTGCAAATGACAACACTTTTATAAAACAATTTTGTTAAACAGATTGGTTTTGGTCTCTTTGACGTCTACAATATTTATGTACAACAGGAAGATTTTGACTTAAGCTCAAGATGCTAAATTTATGATCTCGGGGCCAGGGCTTAATCTGTTCTTATCCAAACCATAGATTGCAACTGGCCATTAATCTATATATATTTTAAAATGATGCTCCAGAAATACATCATATGTGATATGCAATGAAAATAGTAAGACATACTTAAACAAAAAACCTAAAGTCAACCTACCATGTAAATGGATATGTGATGTCCAGGAATTGTGGTTATGATGGTCCTCAGTGTCTTGTATGATATAACCAACGTGCCAAGTAAAGGAGTGTTCAGATGGACATCCGGATGTCGTCAACATTAACCCGTATGTACCACTGGGCCACGTGACTGGGATCTTCAGTTGGGGGTCTTTGGATTAAACAAATGAATGAATTTTATTTAAAGAATAACTGTCTTATTTTTCGATTTCATGATGTGATCAATCAATTGGCTTGCGTGATAATTTGTATTTCTTGTGATAAATATTATTTTATATCCCCTTTTTAGTGTTACAGTTGTAAAGTAGAATACTAAATTACTTCCATTTAGAATAGTGCAGAGTTAAAATTACAATATTTCATTACTTGTGGGAGTAGGTGCCATTTTGTATGCTGCATAATCTCCTAAAGATCGAATTAAATGTGACTTTCGTGAATGAAGATGCCCTTTGTCATCAGCTGAGCAAATGCTAGCAGCGACTAAATCATCAAATCTCTGCCAGAACATGGGTTGCAGGGCTTCATCAATGGTCTCTAGTGTCAGACCAATCGGTTCTGGGAGAGTTTCAGACCCGGACTGTAAGGTATATTGATAGGTTCCATAGTTTTGTTTAAAACTGCTACTTTGTTTGAATGTATCAAAGTTGACTCCCAGAGATGCAGAATATCCCAGGTACGATCCCCCTACATCTAAATCGAAACCTCCCTGAAACACATAGATACGTCAATTAATTAAGTGAAGACATAATCTAATTATGAAATAATATTTTAGTGATGCTCAAATCTTTTATCAGAGGACAGGCTAAAATATTGTTTTTTTTTTTATCAGCCATCAAATTAAATTAAATTTTTTTTTATTGTAATCAAACCTTTTGAAAGAAACTTTTCAAGATAAACATATTACAGTGGATATGTAATTCATATTGGAAATACAGCGTCACTTGGGCATATCGCCTTTAAAAATTTTCTTTCGAGAGAGAGGGTTCCAGTTTTATTGCATTACAGCACCATGCCAAATTGTTGATTAAAATGACCAATTCTATCAAAATTGATGAAAACAAACAAAATATAATAGATCCATGGAATGATGCTAACTCATGACAAGGCCCGCACAAGTGTAAAATCAAATGTACTATTAGCATATACTCAGTAATTTGAACACTTACCGACTTACTAACTTGCTCCATAAATTGTTTGAAGGAGCTTTGTGAACGGCTGATTCGTTTTTGACCAAGCTCAACTTCAACCGTAATGTGCTGAAAAAAGTTAAGATGATGTAAGAAAAATGCAGATGTCATTTCTGTAAAGGTAGCTAAAGACCAATTTGCCATGTAAAAATTGTCTTCGTTTTAATAATATAAAAATAATTGTCATGTTGCTCTGATCGTTAAAAATCAGTAACAAAGTTATATATTATAAATTTCTTTACTACTGACCGTTCCCCAATGATCCAAAAATTTCATGTAAGCCGATTGGTTATACGTCACCGGAAGTGAACAAATAGCAGCTGCAAAGCTTTGTGTGATGGGAAATTTTCCAGCATTGACCAATTCCGTCATGTAACGCACTCGACCAAGATTACACAGATTTATCTGATCCTGAATTATGTTGTGTTCTAAATTTGTCTTATTATGTGCTTGTTGGTATCCTGTAAAAAGCCGTTAATTCAGAAAAGCAAGTAAAATGTAAGTACGAAATATGTAAGTCAACATGCGTTTCTTACAACCTGTGAGGTCCAAATTTTGATTTTAATATTTTGTTTAAAATCATGCAGTAACTTGAATATACTCACTTCCACTTAACGTAAAGGAAAACGACGCTAATCCTACGCTTGCACCACCTGAAATGGTAAAGAACTTTCAGGTTCACTAAATTGTCAGTATGATTGTTTATCAACATGTAACAAAATAACTTTATTGATCACCAGAAAAGCTTTAAATTTATTTTGTTTTTATAAAAGAAGTTTTTCTTCAAAAATATTCTTCATGTGCCAATGAAGACTTTCAAATTAACAGATATTTCGACAAAATAATGGAATTTTTATTCTTTGCTTCATCCTTACGCAAATCTTTAAATCATTTTTGAGCAAGTCTGAAACTCAAGGATAGAATAATGCATAATTTTTTAGTGATCGAACACAGATGCCTTTGTAGAGGAAGCTAGGAAAAAGACTAAATCTGCACTGTCTATATCTAACTTAACATATTTTCAGAGACCATATTGATGATATTTCTCAATCTAAAATTAACAACAAAATAATCGTTTCTTTTCATATACATGTATGTTTTATTTCTTCCGAGACTACTTCTTAATGTTCAGAGATAACTCTGTTTTTGTTCATTTATTTGAGCAAACTGACCCCCTTTACATACACCTTTTCTGATTCATTACTTTTTTGAATGACACGCATTAAAAGAAAATGCTTTTCGGGACAACATACAGGCACATGTATTGATAGAATGAAAATGCAAAGAAATGAAAATATAATATGAAAAAATAATGTTTCATGGCTTTCCAATAACCACAAAAAAAACCTTTGTATCTCTCAAACCTTACTTTGCGAAAAAATGCTCAATTCTAGTATGTAAATGCATCTTCTCTTTTGTTTCAAATGAAGATACCTGAGGTTTTTACACCAAGCTTTAGTTTGTCTTGATACGATTTGGTTCCATAGTACATGGACGTTGTGTTCTTGTTAGCACAGCTATGGCGGTGTTCGATTTGAACTCTTGTAGGTGAGTCGTGTTCGGTGACCTCAAGGATTTTCCTGGTGTACAGTAGGCCTGGATCGACTCCTCCATTAGAAACTAAGCTCCCGTCAGGATTTCCTGTCAGTAAGTTATATCCTACTCCAATGTAGTGGAGATCTTCTTGTTGAGCCCCCGTAAAGCTCAGTAGAATTAATATGAGCAACGCAGGGTATGATCCACACATTCTTAATGGCCTAGGTTACATTTCAAAACTGATATGGTTTTGTGTTTGTTTCAAATCTATAGCTGGAATAAAAGAGGATTTTCAAATTTAATTGGCTTTATCACAAATATGCATTATACCAAAAAAAAATACAAGAAGCAAACGTTTTTCTTGCAACCTAAACCTCAAAGACGATACAAGTTTTATAAAAGTTAGAAAATGACAGAGCTATTCAACATTACCCCCTTCCACCTTGAAACCACTCTTTCAATGAATGCGAGGACTTACACAATTGGAAGGTTATTATGGTTTTATCTTATCTTTATTAATAAACGGTGTTAATATTTATTCCATTGTAAGAAGTAGCCTAGGTCAAGATAAAAAACCCAAAAGTAATCAAATATTAAAATGTACGCTTCCATGAATATTTACTTTGCATAAGATTACAAAAGTTTCCTAACAAAGAAATGCTCTTAAAATCGATTACACTTGTATATATACATTATTAGAGCCTTTTCATTTATTAACTTGCTATCTTTCTGCTACTTATACGCTCTTTGGCTAATTATGACTGCATTATTAATACATATTTGGTACATGTAGGACATGTAGGATTCCAGTTCCACAAACTTTAATCTGGTCCCTCGTTCAGAAAATCTTGCGAAAAGCATCCGTAGATGCATCATAGCCCACTATGCAATATCCATGGTCACAACACTGTGTAGCAATACCCTCAATTTTTTCTGTTTGCTCCTTGTGTTAACGCTTACTTGAAGATATATATTTTGCAGTATCAACTCTCCATGTCTTTCCAAAAAATTGCAATGTTAAGACACAAATAATGAGTAATTTTACTGTGTAACCATTTGATCTGGTGTCTCTTCAAATTCAGACCAGTGTCACGCAAAGTGATTCTGGAATCATGCCCAAACTTCGACCGCTTGTTTCGATCATTGAATTAGCTGTCCGCTTTAACTTTTTGCTTCGGAATCCTTATTATTCTTTAGCACTATAAAACTTTCCTTTCTTACTTTTAAAAGGTTTCAATCAAGCAGAATATAAAGTTGTTGATTTTTTCATAGCAGTCCAATGCTGAAGATTTCATTATTTTATTTATTCATCTTTTATAGGAATTTTTTCCCCGATAATCAAGTTCAACTCATTTATTTCTTTGCTTCACATAACAAATCAGAATACAGAATAGTAACTTAATATATACACTATATATATAGTCTATATAGTATGATTAGGTATAACAAAATGAGAGTGAGCATAATACATAAATGGCAAATAACAAGACGTGCTATAACTGGTAGGTTTTATTGTAATTATTACAATAATTACTAATGATTCATAGCTCTCTCGAAAGGCCCGATATAAATATATTACAAAAGTCCCTTAATTTTGTACGTTTAGAAGTTGAATTCAAATTTCCAAACTTTGAATTTCTTATATAAATAATACTTTTATGAAATACTTCAATCTATGATCAGGATAAAATGTACATTGTAGAATTAAATCAAATACATCTTCGAGAAAAATTAATGAAAACCTACTAGTTTTAATGATCTCTACCACTTTCATCATTCAGACTTTTAGCAGAAAGGCTGCAAAAGAGGCGCTTTGGTTAAGAACATAATGTTTTGATCAATGGTCTCAAATTAATCATAAAAGAATGTCAAAAAAGAAGAAAACCAAGGCGAAAAAGTTTACCTTAGTTTCCAAAAAAGATAAACAAGTTGAGCAATTCAGAATTAAACATACGTTCAACCTTTCCAAAAACTCTTCTTTTTTTCATGTATATTTATATGTTCGCATTCTCTTGCAAATTAAACAAAATTCAACAATAGTACTAGTTTGTATATCATTACTTCAAATTGGAAATTTTGATAGGGTTTACAGAAACTATCATAAAACTATCATGTTTTTCAAAAGTGAATCAACTTCCAATGTCAACGTCAAAAGGTAAAAAGTATTTGTATATCCATGTAAATATCTTAACAAATGAAAATGAAAGACATCTGTGGAATATAAAAGTTCTTACACCAACCGTCAATAGTTATGGCAAAGGTAAAATTTGGTAAAATTTGACATAAGTGAGTCAATCTGAATGATCAAAGTCAGGAGACCAATAAAATATGTTGTTTCCCAGTGAAAGGTCACCTTCATTCATATGAAAGCCATTCGAAACTACATGTAATCACTGTTAAAGGCAAAAGTTTATGCTGACAAGAAGACAAACAGACAAACTGGCAGAAAAAAGTCTTTACCCCCGAATCTTCGACACGTGGGCATAATTAACAAACTTTAAGTATTTTGTTCGGAAATCTACATTCTTTAAAGTAAATTCTTTGCAGATCTAAAACTCTTCAAAAATACAAACAGAATTTAAAATTGGGAAAACGCCAACTCTATTATTAAGGGAAGAAACCAGGGTTTTACATGTATTATAATTAAACTTAAAACAAAGCAGCATGTAAGTACAGTTGTGAATTTTCATATACAACTCTAAATGTTTTATATTTCCCTTTGTTTGTTGATTTCTTCGCCTTTTTCCAAATTATGTTATCATAAAGGATTACTAATTTAACACCAGGTCACCGTCAGGGCTTTCACTCCTAGAACTTTGGGTCCATAAGTACGGGTTTTTACGTTGTCTGCCTCTTTTTTCAAAAAGGAGTCTGAAAGAAATATAAAATGATTTTTTTATTGCTCAAATTGTCACAAAAATGATTGTCGATAAATCATAAATCATTATTCTATATTAAAAATAAATGTTTTTAAGATAAAATTGACCTTTTGAATAAATTCATTTGTATAATATAATAATATTATTAACTAATACCACAGAGAACTGACTTTAACGCGTGGGTGAATAGAGTATATTTAGTGCAAAATTTGTCATCTTAGTGTTAGTAAAAAGAAACTGCTCCAAACCTTTAACCTGGCTGTTCATCTGGAAATGTTGGTCAGGTGTAGCATCCTAAGCAAGTCCAGAAATGTACATTCTTTCATAGATGTATCACCTATGCAAGTTTGGTCATCATAGGGCTTATACCTACTTTAAAATGAACATGCTGCAATAATTTTAACTGGTCGTTCATGCAAATAGATTCAGCATCCGAAGTACATGTAAGCCTGTTAATGTACATCCGTACAATGAATCATACAAGAAGCTATCTTCCTTGTATCTCAGATTAATATATACTGACACTCAAAAGAATCGCAACACCCTAATTTTAGGATGAAAATTATATACATGTACGATATAACTATGTACCAAAAAAGTTAGGACATCTTTAACTTTGCCAAATCAGTTATTTAACGGTTGAATGGTTTTCTTTCCATTACCGGAAGTAGATATTTAGCCCTCTTAACAGAAATAAAAAAAATTAGCATTTTTAATAAAATTATCTGCAGCTCACCTTTTTCTTTATTTTGAGAATTTCCAGCGTGAGCAATGAAAATGCATGCTTTCAGTCATTTTGAGGAAATATAGGCATCAAATCCGGAAAAAAAAACGACTCCCCCCCCCCCCCCCCCCGGAATTTTAGTACAATACTAATGAAAAAGCTACAAAACCTTAAAGCCCCAAAATATTGTCAATAATTTTATTTAAAATGCTAATTTTTGATTTCTGTTAAGAGGGCTAAAAATCAACTTCCGGTAATGGAATGAAAATCATTCAACCATTAAATAACTGATTTGGCAAAGTTAAAGATGTCCTAACTTTTTTTGGTACATAGTTATATCCCGTATAACATTTTCACCCTAAAATTAGGGTATAACGTTTCTTTCGAGTTTCAGTATATAAGACACTTAAGCCTTGGACGCTGACGCCGAGTGTTTAAATAAGCCTCTCCCGATGTTGTCGAGGTCATATAAACGATGAATTTATAAACAATACTGTACCTGTACACCAGAGTTGCTACCAGAAGACCGACAAAAGGTCCAACCCAGTAGATGTAGTGATATTCCCAAACTCCATCAATATCATATTTTAAAGTGGAAACAGCCGGACCCAAACTTCTTGCTGGATTCATCGAACCACCAGTCACAGTTGAACTAATTGTGAGACAAAAACATGTTTATCTGACTATATAAATGTTTCTTTCATACCAATTTTTATTTCTCATTTGCAGACATATACTGATATAAACCATTATGATCAGGATACAAACAGGCACGTAGCATCGTTTTTGAAAGTGGGGGGGCCAACTGAGAAATTTTTTTTACAAAAAAAAAAACAAAAAAATAAAAAAAAAACAAAAAAAAAAAACCAAAATTAAAAAGTGTCCAAACTCGAAAATCCTATTTCGTGGGGAGGGGGGGGGGGAGGGGTGGGTAGTAGCCAACTTTTTTTAAAGGCCAACTTCCTTTCACTTTCAATTTTTTCCTATATTTCCTTCCTATAAATATACTCTGGTGAAAAGTGGGGGGGGCAACCATCTTTTCAATAGACATTTTCTATAGTATTCCCCTGGCCCCCCTGTTGCTACGTGCCTGACAAAGCAAAAAATATCAGTATGATAACATGATACATATGAAGATAGGGTTTACCCTGCCATAACTCCCACTGTGACGGCAAAACCAATCGCCAAAGGTGCCAGTTTTTGTTTCTTTTCGTCCATTGTTGTCATTAATACGGTCAGAATAAGCATAAAGGTCAGAATGGCCTCTGTCAGAACTCCCCAGCCGGGCTCTGTTCTACTGCTGAGTATTGTAGCTCCACCAGCGCGTAATTTGTAGTCTCTTCCTGATAAAATACCCTATAATAAGAAGTAAGGAACTTTTACCCTTATAACATTTTTAAACAAAGGTCGCAGACCCTAACGATTACCTGAGATTAATATTTACGGATGGATTAAGCTACGAGGTGCGTTCAATATTTTTTGTCCAAGCCCTATTACAGCAACAAAAACGAAATAGAAATTTAAATTATATATTGCATTCCTTCAAAGTAATCTCCCTTGTATTTAATACAGAGATGATGTCGTTTAATCCAGTCAAAAAAGCTCTTTTTTGTGCGTTTTTCGTGGTATATCCCTTAAATACTGAAAAAAGCTGATCCCAGCGCTGACCGCGACTGAAAATGCCTCCCAGAGAGAGCTTCTTTTAGTTTTGGAAACAAGAAAAAGTCACAAGGAGAAAGATCTGGTGAATATGCAGGATGTGGAAGTTCGATAACTTTGTGACGCTGTAAATAGTTTCGAGTAACTTTTGCTTTATGAGCAGGAGCATTTTTAGGTCACCCGACTAATTGTTATCCGTTTTTCCGTCGGCGTTTGTCGTGCGTCAACATTTGAACATTTTCAGCTTCTTCTCTGAAACCGCTTAACCAATTTCAACCAATTTTGGCATAAAGCATTTATGGGTAAAGGGAAACAAAAATTATGAATTTCATGGCCCCTGCCCCCCTGGGGCGTGGAGGTGGGACCAAAAGCACTAAAATTAATGCAATCTTTAAAAATCTTCTTCTTTACTCCTGGACATCAAGCAGTCAAACTGTTGTTTGGTTGTAATTAGAATTAAGGCCTCTACCAAAATTGTGAAATTCATGGCGCCAGGGTCAGGGGTTCTAATACTAGGGCGGGGCTAAATAGATTAAATAGTGAAAATGCATTATTTATTTGAAATTCATCTTCTCTGCTCCTGGGCATTAAATAAACTAACCAAGTGAATAGTTATGTTGAATAAGACTGCTTCTACCAAAATTGTGAATTTCATATCCCCAGGGTCAGGGGTTCTGGTGTTAGGGTGGGGCTCTATTGAATGATATAATGAAAATGCATAAAGTCTTTGAAATTCTTCTCCTCTGCTCCTGGGCATTAAATAAACTAACCAAGTGCATAGTGATGTTCAATAAGGCTGTTTCTTCCAAATTTGTGAATTTCATGGCCCCAGGGTTAGTGGTTCTAGTGCTGGGGCGAGGCTATATAGATTATACATGTATAGTGAAAATGCATAAATGCATTGAAATTCTTCCTCTATGCACCTGGACATTAAATAAACTAACCAGCTGCATAGTTATGTTATGAGTAAGGCTGCCTCTTCCCAAATTGTGAATTTCATGGCCCCAGGGTCAGGGGTTCTGATGTTAGGGTGGGGGCTCTATTAATTATATAGAGAAAATGGATAAATTATTTGAAATTTTTCTCTGCTCCTGGACATCGCATAAACTAACCAAGTGCATAGTTATGTTGAATAAGGCTTTCTCTTCCAAAATTGTGAATTTCATGGCATTCATGTCAAAGGGTCAGGGATTCTACTGCTAGGGCACGGCTATATATATATATATATATATATATATATATATATATATATATATATATATATATATATATATATATATATATATATATATATAGAGTGAAAATGCATAATTCTTTGAAATTCTTCTATGCATCTGGACATTGAATAATTGAATAAAATAACGAAGTGCATAGTTATGTTGAATAAGTTGCCTCTTCAAAAATTGTGAATTTCATGCCCCCAGTGTCAGGGGTTCTAGTTCTAGGGTGGGGCTTCATATATTATATAGTGAAAATGAATCATTTCTTTGAAAATCTTCTTCTCTGCTCCTGGGTATTAAATAAAATAACAAAGTACATAGTTATGTTGAAGAAAGGCTGTCTCTTCCAAAATTATGAATTTTATGACCCCTGGACCAGGGGTTTTGGTGTTAGGGTGGGGCTCTATTAATTATAAAGTGAAAATGCATAAATTATTTGAAATCTTCTTCTCTACTCCAAGGGATTAAACCAATGAACTATATACATAATTAAGATGAGGAAGGATGCTTTTTCCCATTTTGTGAATTTAAGGGATCCCTAGGTAAGGGTTTCTGGTGGGGCTATAATGATGATATAGTAAAAATGCATGAATTCTTTGAAAATCTCTTCCTTTGCTCCTGGGTATTATGGCAATGATCTAAGTACATATTTATGATGAAGAAAGGTTTCTCTTCCAAAATGATTAATTTTAGGGCCCTTAGGTCAGGGTACTGGGAAAGGGGGGGGGGTTCATAGTCTGAAAATAAATTAATGCTTTGAAATGTGCTCTTTGGTATTAATAATCATTTATGATAAAATAAAATTTATGATAAAAATTTTGAAATATGTGGCCCAAGGGTCAGTGGTTCCTGTGGGGTGTGGTACACAACTGGTGGTTATTTACGGACAGACACACAGACGGACGGACAGACAGACAGAAAGACACACAAGGATAAAACAGTTTACCCCCTCTCCTTCGGAGCTGTATTATAAAAATGTTTATAATCATGCAAAGGTCTTGTCACATTGAATACACATGTAAACTTATGGTAAAGGTTACAGTTTGGTTATCTTTTGCAAAATTGGGTCAAATTCCAATGGCAATGGCAGGAGATTAAATTATTTGGTACTTAGAGGAAGGTTTTGTAACAAGAAATACACATTTGAGATAGTTATGGAAGATATGAAAGTTGAAAGTTTTTGCACACAAACATAGAGGCAGACAGACTGACCGGGTAAAACAATAAATACCCGACTCTTCGATAACGGGGTGATCAGTAAGATATAAACAAAGTGTTAAACCTATGAAGTATACATACAAGAACTAGGGCTGCCCCAATCAAGCCTCCAATTATCTGAGCGATGAAATAACATACTGCAACAAGGAGGGGCACACCCCCACACAGCGTCACGGCAGCAGTTATGGCAGGGTTAAAATGCCCACCACTACAAAACAAGCATTTAAGAAAGTTTTTTTTTTTAAATTCCATTTTCAGATTAAATACATTCAGGAACCGCCCCCTAGAAAGTGCAAATAATTTTCACGCTGATTTTTGGCTTGAAATTTTTATCTTAGAAATTCTTTTCACCACCTTACATACATAAACAAACAAATAGAAAGATAGAAAAGAACAAAAATCAATAACTTTCACTTAGAGTTGCATTTCGTGAGACTACTGAATGCAGAATTTGTATCTTTTAACTGTACACAATAATATATCAGATACTCAAACCTACCTGATTTTTCCTAACCCTACCATGAGGAAAAAATAAGCAAACCCCTGAAGGAGACCCGAAGTAGGATATAAACACACAGAAAACACGAACAATGTAGTTCCGATGAACTCGGCAAGGACAGGACGAACGAGTTTGTTAAAGAAAGAAGAAACAGGTGGATCCTGGTTTACGGTCGTGTTCCCCTCGGCCATTTTTAAAAGATTAAACTGCGCAGAATGAAATTTTATACTGTTTCATTGGAGCAAAACATTGAGTAAGTGCGTATTAAATGTAAAGCTCAATGATACAAGGAATGTGGAAGATGCCTTTATTTGGCGTAAAATTTTGCCAGTTGATGATTATTAACTTAAATCGTTCTCTTGCTAGTGTATCTCATCTGATGCAAACATAGGTACATGTATAATACTGATATATAGCTTTGATTCTGGTTTTGCTGACTCTAAGCACTTTATTTTTTTCATCCGAGTTTATATTTTTTTCGATGAGAGTAACATTGGATTTTCATCTCGAGAAAACCATTGACGACTCGATATCTGAGGTTATAGAAAATGGTTTTCGTAGGGTGAAATTGTTAATGCAATATTATTTTATATTGAAGGTCATACGTAAAGCTTGAAACCATACATGCATATCTTTTTTACCTGTGGTATTTTTTTTAAATGTCATGAAATGTGAAAATAACGAAGAGTTACATGTACATGTATCATGGTCATGGATCTACTAAAAATGTTAATTTTGAGCAGATCGAGTAATCACAAATTGAACGCCACTGCAAAAAAAAAAAAATAAAAATAAATAATAATAATGCATTTAAAAAAAAACAACAACAACAAGAAAAAACAAATTTGGCTTCACTAAAGCACTAAAAAAAAGTCTAGTAAGAAGGGGGGGGTCAATAAGTTTAATATCAAATTTAGAGTACTTGTTTGTGGAATCAAAATAGTTTTTGACAAAGTTTGTAGATCACAAATGACAAAATAGGAAAAGCTGAAGTTCGACTCTTAGTAAAGATGTTGTTGTCTAAGAGGCATGGTTTTTCATTTATAGTTAAAAATAATGGTATAAAGAGTTGAAAAGGTAACAAACATTTTGTGCTTTTGATTTCGGGGGAAAATCTTATTTCAAATTTTCTCAAATACGTTACCCGTAATCAAGTTAACTTTCAAACTGCAATATAAATAACTTATTTTAAGTTCAACATCTATCGAAGAGGTATAAAAGTTAAACTCAATTTCATTGATTAAAATGAATCCAACTTTTATATTAATTAATATTTACAACTTGTATCAGGATATAGAATTTGAACTCAGTCTTTTTTTCATAATAATGTGCCATTACTTTAATGATACTTTGAACACTGACAGTAAAGAGTAACTGATTCCCAATATATATTACTAGTATCCCAATATACAGTGAATTATATGGAGATAACGAACAGTATATAAGACTAGAAACGTTAATGAAGAAAAATCGAGCTAGAAAAGTAAAAAAAAAATATTCGAATATTCACGCGCTAACCATTCGGCCAGCTTCAAATTTTTAAATATAAATATCTCGAGAGGATAAATCAAATTACATATCATGCATTCTTAAAGGAGTCTCTATTTAGATTAATAATATCAAAGACAAATATTGAAAAAGAAAATAGTTGAAAAATTGCATTTTTTAAATACGCTTCTGGTAGCTACTGACGACGCACAAAAAGGTGATTTCCATATCAATATACCTTTAACCATTTTTGAAAAAAAGGGGCGACAAAAATTCATTTTAAAATCAGAAAACTGTCAATATGGAACCGAAGGTGAGTATAAATCTGATGAACAAAGTCCATATAATGACGCATAATTCCTGACAGTTTCATTGAAAACCACCGAATAGTTTTCGAGAAATCGCCTGCACAAAATTTTGGGGAAAAAAATAAGAATAATAATAATAATAATAATAATAATAATAAGAAACAGTAGAATCACTATAAGTCTTCCGCATGAAAAGTCCATAAAACAGTACAAAATAGGAGCAGAGCAAACACGAACCTCCAAAACATCAAATGTGGGATAAGGTGTCATGTAGGAGTGGACATTCCCTGTCATTTTATATGGAAGCATCCTCAGAAAGTAAAATTCAAATTTCTTTAAATGACTGCCCGTGATTGGTCAGATATTTCCCCCCGTTTCCATTTTCTCAAATATCTTAGAAATAAGATGTGGCCCTTCATTTGAACAAAATTGAACTATTGTCTTCATTCAAGGATGGTATATTTCAACTTTGGCAAAACTGGCGAAGCGGTTTTACACAACTATCGGAAAAGTCACTTTTATAGACAATACTGAACAGACAAACAGCTATACAGATGAACGTTAGACTAGCAAATCAGAAAATCTTATGTACATGTATACTAGTACCTTCTGTTCAGATTAGGTGAAAATCTACTTATATTAGGTCTATTGTCTGCATGATTTAAGAGAAATAATACAAGAGACCTTTGGTTAACTATACATATAGTTGCCTGAATCATCTTGGCTCTACACGTCTTGCACAGATGTTTAATACCGTTAACTTGTTCACCTTACGTCAAGTTTTAAGACTATATGCCAACTGTTTTTTCCTAAAATTATCATTAGGATATATGGTTAACGTACATCTAGATTGAAATAGGTGATTTTCTTATTGTACCTCAAGGATTGATTGATTGTATGTTGTTTAACGTCCCTCTCGAGAATTTTTTTCTCATATGGAGACGCCACCACTTGCCGGTGGAGAGCTACAAATTTTGTCCTATACTCGACACTCAGGGACATTGAGCAGTGAGGGATCTTTTTCGAGCCAGCACCTACTGCGACACGGGGCCTCGGTTTAATTATACAGTCTCATCTGAAGGACCGGTCTCCACGTCCCACAGTGGGATTCGAACCTGCGACATAAGGATTGACTCCTTACTTGGCGACTCTAGAGCAGATGCTCTAACCATTGCGCCACGCGGGCGACTGTACCTCAAACAACGTATCGTTTTACATGTACGTCTACCACACTAAATATTGGGAAACTATGAAAAGCTGATAAGTCGAGCTTTCTGAATTTAATGTAATGTGAATAAATTGAACACATTCTACCGGTAAATAATTTTTTTGACATTATCAGTCTTCATTACTCGAGAGGAAAATTGAAAACCCCTTCTTAGTTCAATTTTGACTCAACTTTGCAAGTTAATTTTGTTATATATTATAAGGAAAAGTGTTTTTCCCGACGATCAAGTACATGTATAAGTTCTTCATGTCTGCGTCACTCGATGCATCAAAATACAGAATAATATATTCACTAAATACATATATTACATGTATAATATGTAATATGATGAGGTATAACAAAGAAAACTGAGCATAATAATAAATAGCAAGTATACAGAACGATTTATCACATTCCAGCATCTATGCATATGGTAAATTTCAAATAAAAAATAATTATACAAATTGTCACGAAAAGGTTAATATTTTCTTCTTTCTCCAAATATCAATGACTTAATGTTTTTTTTAGAACATAGATCTAACTATTTACTATCTAACTGCATAGATTCGTATGAAATAAATTAATGTGTACATTTATTATAGTCTTAAATAACAGACGAGCGTATTTACATTTATCCCCCCGGGACGTGACGGGTGGGACCAAAACCACTAAAATTAATGATCTTTAAAGACCTTTACTCCTGGACACCAAGCAGCCAAACTGTTGGCATGATTGTAATCAGCATTAAGCCCTCTACCAAAATTGTAAAATTTTTGGTCCTAGGGTCAGAAGTTCTTGTGTTAGGGTTGAGCTCTATTGCGTTAAAAGTGAAAATGCTTCTTTTAAAATTTCTTTGTTACTGGGTTTTATGCTGATGATCTTAGGACATAGTTATAATGAGCAAGCTTAAGGATGCTTCCTCCAGAATTGTGAATTTCAAAGCTCTTTTCAGGGGTGCGGGAGGCGGGATGGCCCTAATGATTATGTATTGAAAATGAATTAATGCTTTGAAATCTGGTTCCTGTTGGGTGTGTCGCTACTGTTTATATAGTGGAAATGCATATTTTCTTTGTTCCTCTGCTATGTCTCACGGTATTTACTTATCAAGTAAGCATATGCCAAGTGCATAGTTATAATAAGCAATGTTGCCTCTTTAAAATTATGAATTCTTGGCCTATGGTTTAAAACACGAAGAAAATTCATTTGTTGGAAAGTTGTTAAGATACTCCGGTGACCTATAAGGCCCGTGGGCTTCTTGTTAAAGCAAATTTGCATATCTAAAATGCTTCAAAAATACGAAGACAATAAAAACTTAATAAAGTTTTACGTAATATAGAAATAAAACAGAATTTCATTTTAATTATACTTGAAACAAAGCAGCATACTATAATTATTAGTTGTGAATATTAATATACAGCACAATCCTTAAAGTGCGATCTTTTCTTTTGCTAGTTGATTTCTTTCGCTTTTTCCAAATAATGTTATCATAAACAACTAATTTAACACCATGTCTCCATTAGGACTTTCACTCCTAGAATTTTGGATCCATATGTACGGGTTTTTACGTTGTCTGGCTCTTGTGTCAAAAATTAGTCTGAAAGAAATATAAAATAATTGTTTTATTGTTCAAAGATGTCACAAAAGAGTTAGTGATAATAAATTATTGTACAGTCTCTTATAATGGAAGTTTTTTGAAAATAAAAAAAAATAGTTTTCTAGTTAAATCATATGTATACACATGTAATAACTAATACTAAAGAAAAAAACATAGAAAATACAAAGCTCATCTCAAGGAATAGTGTCTTTAAGTAAGGCAGAGTCCCACGCTTATATCTTAGAGGTAGAGTCCCACGCTAATATCTTATTTATAGAGAAATCAAGCATCTTATTTGCGTCCCACGCTTCACTTTTCTGATAATGTTTCTTCTATTCAAAATATGTTATCTTCGGACATAAGAAATATAGCAGATGGTCCTCACGCTTATATTTTGAATACAAGTAAAACAAAATGTGTACACACATCAGAGACGATCCCTGACGCCAATATCTTAATTTACAAATTTCACATCATTTTCAGAGTCACACATGAAAAACTACTTGCATAATATTCTTAATTTTAATACACATGCTGTTTGTAAATCCGTATCTGCAAAGATATCTGTATGTACAAAAATTAAGAAATATCTTCCA